ATAGTTCACTTATAATCAAAGAGCATTCCGAACTCCACCAGTGATGGATTTGAACCAAACTTGGCTCCCATGACCAATGGAAAACATTGGAAGGGTTTGATGGGCATTGACCTTGAGTTTGGGAGTTGTAGTTCACCTATATCCAGAGAGCACTGTGGACTCATGCAATGGTGGATCTGGACCAAACCTGGCATGAATACTCAATATGCCCAAATGTGAACACTGGTGGAGTCCGGGGGAAATAGATCTTGACATTTGGGAGTTGTAGTTGCTGGGATATATAGTTCATTACAATCAAAGAACATTCTGAACTCCACCAACCATAGAATTGGCTCAAACTTCCCACATGGAATCCCCATGACCATCAGAAAATACTGTGTTTTCTTATGGTCTTTGGCGACCCCTCTGACACCCCCTCGTGACCCCCTCAGGGGTCCCGACCCCCAGGTTGAGAAACACTGTCCTAAGGGAAACTGGCCAGGGAATGACCATTGCATCGAGCAGTACGAATCAATTTTCCCATTTGATTGGGAGGTTTGAATAGCTGACGAACTTTGTAGAATGTGCTGCACTTTTCTGTACAAGTTATGTCCGTTGTTTCTGGCATTTATACTGTTCTCTCATCCACCTGGCCAGATGAATAAAACTTCTGTTACTGCCTTAAACCTAGTGTCATGTATCATGTTCTGCAGTTGGTGGCGGTATGCCTAGCAGTTGGTGATGGAAGGCTTAATGCAAGTCTTAGTACTATAGGGCTGAGTAATCTGTAAGTAAGAGTTCATGGGTGAAAGCAATTAAGGGTGGAGGTGATGTCGAGCACCCCCCCTCCCCCAAAATAAGGGATAGTGACTTATAGTTTTTATCGCTAAAATTGGCTTTTTCTGGCCTCACCAAGGTTTAAGGACTCTCTTTGGTGCAGTCCTCGGGATCTCCCTAGCTGGGGAGATCCTCCTAAAAGCAGCTCGATATCAGAGGTGTGCAAGATATAGGTTGCAGCTGGGTGTTTCTGGATAGAAGGAGCTACCCTTGGGAGTGATCTTTGGAGATTTGTCTTATTTTGGTGGTAGATGCTGCTGGTTTCCCCCCAGGTTTGTGGATTTTCGTTATCCTGACCTGTCTCCTGTACTCTTGGAACCTTGAATCTTTGGACTGGCTTTTGGCTATGGGAAGGGTCTGACGTGTGATCCAATACAAAAGCCATCTTGTTTGCTGTGGACTAAACTTGTTATAAATCTAATAATAATAATAATAATCATCATCATCATCATCATCATCATAGAATCATAGAATCAAAGAGTTGGAAGAGACCTCATGGGCCATCCAGTCCAACCCCCTGCCAAGAAGCAGGAATATTGCATTCAAATTACCCCTGACAGATGGCCATCCAGCCTCTGTTTAAAAGCTTCCAAAGAAGGAGCCTCCACCACACTCTCGGGGCAGAGAGTTCCACTGCTGAACGGCTCTCACAGTCAGGAAGTTCTTCCTCATGTTCAGATGGAATCTCCTCTCTTGGAGTTTGAAGCCATTGTTCCTGCGTCCTAGTCTCCAAGGAAGCAGAAAACAAGCTTTCTCCCTCCTCCTCCCTGTGGCTTCCTCTCACATATTTATACATGGCTATCATATCTCCTCTCAGCCTTCTCTTCTTCAGGCTAAACATGCCCAGCTCCTTAAGCCGCTCCTCATAGGGCTTGTTCTCCAGACCCTTGATCATTTATTCGCCCTCCTCTGGACACATTCCAGCTTGTCAATATCTCTCTTGAATTGTGGTGCCCAGAATTGGACACAATATTCCAGGTGTGGTCTAACCAAAGCGGAATAGAGGGGTAGCATTAGTTCCCTAGATCTAGACACTATGCTCCTATTGATGCAGGCCGATATAAGGATTAATGTAAGTCTTAGTACTATAGGGCTGAGTAATCTGCGAGTAAGAGTTCATGGGTGAAAGCAATTAAGGGTGGGGGTATGCAAGAGATCGGTTGCAGCTGGGTGTTTCTGGATATAAAGAGCTAGCCTTGGGACTGATCTTTGGGAGATTTGTCTTATTTTGGTGGTAGATGCTGCTGGTTTCCCCCCAGGTTTGTGGATTTTCGGTATCCTGACCTGTCTCCTGTACTCTTGGAACCTTGAATCTCTGGACTGGATTTTTTAAAACTGCCTTTTAAATATTATGCAACTTGTTCCTGTAATTTTAAACAGGTTCACTGAACAGTATTCTTAATTCTGAAGGATCTCATGAGACCTTCTGTATAATATTATTAGGCCTGTTTGATCAAGAAAAAATTTGTTTCTAAAATCGATTTGTAATTGGGGTGTTTTTTTGTTTCGATATTTAAAATAATTACAAAACTTTCCCCCCACAAAAAGTTTTGGTATTTACGAAATTTTGTAAATATTAACGAATTTTTAGAATATTTTTTTGTATTTTTTAAGAATAATATTAAAATAATATTAAAAAATATTTTAAAATGGAAAATTAACCAAAAAATGGCCCAAATGTGGACCAAACACAGGCAGGAGACAGCAAATGAGAGCACACACCAACAGAAGAGTCTTTTCTTTTTTAGAATATTTTTTAAGAATAATATTAAAATAATATTAAAAATAATATTAAAAAATAATATTAAAAAATATTTAAAAATGGAAAATTAACCAAAAAATGGCCCAAATGTGGACCAAACACAGGCAGGAGACAGCAAATGAGAGCACACACCAACAGAAGAGTCTTTTCTTTTTTAGAATATTTTTTAAAAATAGTATTAAAATAATATTAAAAATAATATTAAAAAATAATATTAAAAATATTTAAAAATGGAAAATTAACCAAAAAATGGCCCAAATGTGGACCAAACACAGGCAGGATACAGCAAATGAGAGCACACACCAACAGAAGAGTCTTTTCTTTTTTAGAATATTTTTTTAAAAATAATATTAAAATAATATTAAAAAATAATATTAAAATAATATTAATATAAAAAATATTTTAAAATGGAAAATTAACCAAAAAATGGCCCAAATGTGGACCAAACACAGGCAGGAGACAGCAAATGAAGCAAGCAGCACTCACAGCAGCAAGGAATGAATCCATTAATCCAGTTGCTAGCAGCCAAGCCAACCCAATGCAAACTCCCTCGCCCTCTGCAGCAAGCTACGGCCGCGCGGAGCCGCTTTGAAAGGGCTCGCTGGCCAATCAAAAACAAACAGCCACGGACCCACGGTGCACTGCTTGGGAGCGCCGGATTGGCTCCCAGGCACCAGCACTCCAGCAGCCTCCACCCCATTAACGAAACGAGCAGAAGCTCGTTAAATCTATGGGGGTTGCTGGTTCGATATTTTAAAACCCTTCCGGGTTTGGAAATGTGTTTTGATATCGCTTCGGAAATGCCAAAAATAACGAATTAATAACGAATTAACAAATTAACGAACGAAACCGCACAGGCCTAATATTAATAATTGAAATGAGACTCTTGCCAAGGCAAAGAAGTGGCACCGAGGTTTATTAGCGATTCAGCTGAAGCGGATGCAATTGCAGTGATCATTCACATGCAAGCATACCAATACATTGATTAGAGGCATATTTATACAGGTTTGAAAGTTTCAAAACTCCCTCCCTCTTCGGCTCCTTAGCAAATCAGGGAGAGGGAGGCAGGACGGAAGAGGGGCATTGTGTCCAGAGAGGATGAAACCAGTTTTTTTTGTTCTTGTGACAGCTCAGTGATTAGGGATAATCATTTGATTCAGGTTTTCCCCTTCCAGGATCAGATAAGGTGGGTTGGTTTTGATGGGTTTTTGGATGAAACAAACAGAGCCGGGCAAGAAGACCCCTGGGGCCAGTCTCGCCCCTTTGTGATTAAATTAAAATGTGACCAGAGGAATTCCCTGTTTACCAGGCCAACTCAGAAAAATAAACAAAGGATTTCCAGTTGCTATTGTCCATGCAAATGTCTGTGATATTATTGAAGAACACAGAAATGCTGGACCACTCTCACAACCACCATGTCAGGCTACACAGAGAAGCCATCGAAATCCACAAGCATGTGGACAATTTAAACAGAAAGGACGAAACCATGAAAATGAACCAAATCTGGCTACCAGTATTAAAGAGAAACTCTAAAACTGCAACAGCAAAACAACAGAGAGGAAACAAACAAGGACATCTAATCACCTCTCAACAAACGTTTGCTCCAGGCACTGCCAGGCAATCAAATGCTAATCATGTTGGTCAGTTGAAACATTCACACCTAGCTCCAGCAGACAAGAGTCCTTTGTCCCACCCTGGTCATTCCACAGAGATTGTTGTTGTTGTTCATTCGTTCAGTCATCTCCGACTCTTCGTGACCTCCTGGACCAGCCCACGCCAGAGCTCCCTGTTGGCCGTCACCACGGCCAGCTCCTTCAATGTCAGTCCAGTCACGTCAAGGATGCCATCCATCCACCTTGCCCTTGGTCGGCCCCTCTTCCTTTTGCCTTCCACTTTCCCCAGCATAACTGTCTTCTCTAGGCTTTGCTGTCTCCTCATGATGTGGCCAAAGTACTTCAACTTTGTCTCTAGTATCCTTCCCTCCTCCAATGAGCAGTCGGGCTTTATTTCCTGGAGGATGGACTGGTTGGATCTTCTCGCAGTCCAAGGCACTCTCAGAGATATAAACCCTTTTTCCTAGTTCCACCAGACCTCACTACCTCTGAGGATGCTTGCCATAGATGCAGGCAAAACATCAGGAGAGAATGCCTCTAGACCATGGCCATATAGTCCGCAAAAACCTACAACAACCCGATTATATCTGTGTTTGGTTTATTAAAATATTCCCATCCAAACCCAAGGAACGAAGGTGGAGGCATTACTTTTCATTCAACCCTTGTAATTAATGGGTCATACGATGTGAACCTGCACAATTTGTATGTTGCTGCTGAAACCAGGTCATTTCAGAACAAGTTCAAAACAATCTCCCTCTTTTCCGAAGGACATGGAAGCGGGTGAAAGAGATGGACAAATGTCCCTTCCGTCCCTCTCCGAAGAGGTCAACGCCCGATTGTCCCAAAGGGAGAAGCGAAGGGAAGGCACCCAGGGCAGTGGTCAGTGTTAATGAGTGACCAGAGGCAGAGAGGGAGTGGGCAGCTTGATGCCCTTCGTAGAGAGAGAGAGTCTTGGGTCTGGGTTTGTCCGGACCCTCCTTCCTTGCAGCCATGAAGCTCCTGGTTGTGCTCTTTGCCTTGGTTGCAGTCACAGGTGGGTCCCAATTTTGTTCTTGGGGTGCATCTACAGCATAGAATTAATGCAGTTTGAAACCACTTTAACTCTCATGGTTCAGTGCTATGGAGTACCGGGAGTTGCAGTTTGCACTCTTTGGCTAAAAAGCACTGCAAAACCACAACACCCAGGATTCCATCACTTGGAGCCAAACTGTGCTAAATCCACAGTGTGGATGCAGGCTTAGTTCTGATGATGAGAGAAGCAACGAGTCAGCATTTACCACCGATACATCTACAGTTGAACGAAGGAAGTTTGGCACCACTTGAGACTGCTGTGGCTCAATGCTCTGGAATCTTGGGAATTGTAGTTTTGCAAGGTCATTGGTCTTCCCTGCCAAAGAGCCCAGGCATTCTTTGGAAGAGAGAGCTAAACTATAATGCCCAGAATTCCAAACCATTTCAGCCCTGGCAGTTCCAAACTGCCGTAATTTTTCAGTGTAGTTGAGCCCTTAGTAAAACTACAACAACTCCCAGAATTTCCCTAGCATTGAGTGATGTCAAACCACATTAACTCTGCAGCGTAGATTCACCCTGTCTATTAAAAAGGGTGAGTTTTTTGCAGCTAAACTATAATGCCCAGAATTCCAAACCATTTGAACCATGGCAGCTTCAAACTGCCATAATTTTTCTGTGTACATGAGCCCTTAGTAGAACTACAACAACTCCCAGAATTTCCCTAGCATTGAGCGATGTCAAACCACATTGCAGCGTAGATGCACCCTGTCTATTAAAAAAGGTGGGTTTTTTGCAGCTAAACTATAATGCCCAGAATTCCAAACCATTTGAGCCATGGTAGCTTCAAACTGCCATAATTCCTCAGTGTAGGTGAGCCCTTCGTAAAACTACATCTCCCAGAATTTCCCTAGCATTGAGCAATGTCGAACCACATTAACTCTGCAGCGTTGATACAACCTGTCTATTAAAAAAGGTGGGGTTTTTTGCAGCTAAACTATAATGCCCAGAATTCCAAAACCATTTGAGCCAAGCTGCCATAATTCTTCAGTGTAGGTGAGCCCTTAGTACAACTACAACAACTCCCAGAATTTCCCTAGCATTGAGCGACGTCAAACCACATTAACTCTTCAGCGTAAATGCACCCTGTCTATTAAAAAAAGTTTTTTTTGTAGCTAAAGGCATAATTCACTATTTTTATTTATTGGAAAGGATTTGTTTTGTTTAATATATATTTTCCTGGGTGTCACTGTGGCCAAGTCACACTCTCTCTCCCTCAAACAACGCCAACGCAAGTTTCTGCTGTTTGTCGTCATCCTGGTGTGTGTATTCTGGTGTGTGCACAAGGGAGAGAGCCTTCTCCTCTTGGCTCCCCGACTTTGGAACTCATTACCTGGAGAGACCAGGAAAGCCCCTTCTCTAGAAACATTCAAAAAGAACCTTAAAACCCGGCTCTTCCGCTGCGCCTTTGGCGAGTAGGTGCACAACACGACACCATTGCACCCCTCAATGCTCTTCCCACTGGAACACACGCCCTCTGTGTCGCACACTGGGCCTATAGGACGTATACTTTAAGCCCAGCGGGAAGCCAGGGTGCCTCAAAGAGAGGTTCTCAGGGATTTTTCTGAAGTGATGGCCTTTAGAGTCTTTAATGATACAACAAAGTCTTTAATATGGAACAAACAACAAATCTTCAATGGCTTTCTTCGTCTAGTCCTCAATGGACTGGCACCTGACTTTGATTAACTAAACTTTCTCTGTAGGAAAAACCCTTTTCAACCGCTCCCAGGCTGCTTTCTATCTATGCCTCATCGGAGTGGGTCCTACTACCGACTCCAAATGCGTCTGGTAGGGCTGGGCGGTTTCATTTCGTAATTTCGTAATTTGTTAAAAATTTGTTATTTTTTTTTATAACGAAGCGATATTGAACCATTCAGGAGCAACTAAAAAACGAAACCAATTTTTCCAATTCGTTTCGTAAGTGTTTCGGAATTGTTTCGGAATTGTTTCGTTATTGATTCGTTATTATTTCCGCATGTCTGGTGCAAGTTTTAGGGTTGCTGTTTGTTTTCTCAGTGAAAAAAAATATAATTATCACACCAACAGTCAACAACAGAGGGAGAGGGAAGCTTCAGAAGTTTTTTTAGCGTATTGCGCGATCGCGGCCGCCATTAACGAATCGATTCGTAATCTATTCGTAATTGTTTCGTAATTGTTTTATGATTTCCGAAATTTCGTAAATATCGAACTTTTTTTTTAAGGAAAATTTCGGAATTCTTTTAAATAACGGAACGCAAAAAACCCCTAAAAACGAATCGAGTTTAGAAACAATTTTTTCCGTGTTTGGACAGCCCTAGCGTCTGGGTATCGAGTAGACCTACCAGCCAGGCAGGGACCTCCTTTATCCGCGGTACGAGGTCTAAATTCGACCTCAAAGAGAGCCATGAAAAGGCTGATATGTTTGACTCTTGTTTTGTCTTGCAGGAGGCCGAGCCGTGACCACCAGAGAAGCCCCCACTTCAGAGCCCAAGTTAAGAGAGTTGGTTGATAAAATATTCAGGCTCGGGTTAGAAGTCTTCTTTTCTCTGGCAGGAAAATTTCTGAACGGAATTGAATCTTCGAATACCAGGGCTATCAAGTAAGCAGATGCCTCTGGCGTGGGCTCCATATAGTTTCACAAGCTTGTTTGCCTTCTCTGCCTAAAAGAGCGGGTGCCTGGCCAAACTGCAACTCCCAGGAATCCTTCACATTAAGCCATGACGTTTCAAATGGTGGCCAAACTGCATTGCTTTTATGGTAAAGGTAAAGGTTGTCCCCTGACATTAAGTCCAGTCGTGTCTGACTGGGACTGGTGCTCATCTCCATTTCTAAACCGAAGAGCCGGCATTGTCCATAGGCACCTCCAAGGTCATGTGGCCAGCATGACTGCATGGAGCGCCGTTACCTTCCCGCCGAAGCGGTACCTATTGATCTACTCACATTTGCATGTTTTCGAACTGCTAGGTTGGAAGAAGCTAGGGCTGACAGCGGAAACTCACGCCGCTCCCTGGAATCGAACCTGTGACCTTTCGGTCAACAGGAAGCTTTGGAAGCTTTTAAACAGAGGTTGGATGGCCATCTGTCAGGGGTGATTTGAATGCAATATTCCTGCTTCTTGGCAGAATGGGGTTGGACTGGATGGCCCAGGAGGTCTCTTCCAACTCTTGGATTCTATGATTCTATGATTCTAGGGGAGTCCTGTGTGCCAATTGTGGTTCAATTCCATTGTTGGAGTTCAGAATGCTCTTTGATTGTAGCTGTGCTATAAATCCCAGCAACTACAACTCCCAAATGTCAAGGTCTATTTCCCCCAAACTCCATCTGTCTTCATATTTGGGAATGTGGAATATTTGTGCCAAGTTTGGTCCAGATCCATCATTGTTTGAGTCCACAGTGCTCTCTAGATGTAGGTGAACTACAACTCCAAAGCCAAAGGACACTGCCCACCAAACCCTTCCTTCTCCATTTGCTTTTATGATGCACCCAAAATTTAGGATCGCAAGTCCCATCATCCCTCATAAGCCTGAGAGGCAGAGCTTTGGCTTCCATTGGAAAGCCTCCAGCAATGGAGTCATGGAATCGTGGAATCCTAAAGTTGGATGGGACTCCCTGGAATAATGTCCAGGGTGGGAGTAAGAACCCTTATCTGTTTGTGGATGTTGCAATGAGCAATCTCGATTAGCATTCAATAACCTTGCAGTTGCAATCAGTGAGGGTATCTGAATAAAGGTAGCCTGGCTGTTGTTGCCTGGAGGCACCCTCTGTTTGGGAGGTGTTAACTGGCACTTGATTACTTGCTGTCTGGAGTTCCCCTGATTCTGCATGGTGTCCTTTATTTACTGTCTCGATTCTGGTGGGTTTTTTTAGATACTGGTAACCTGATTGTCTTCATTATCATTGAGTAGCCTTGCAACTGCAACCTAATGATTCCAGCCATGAAATAATAATCTATCTATCTATCTATCTATCTATCTATCTATCTATCTATCTATCCATCCACCCACCCACCCACCCACCCACTATCTATCTATCTAAGCTTTGTGCGTAATGGGTACCTTAAAAACAAAAGAACCAATGAACGAAATCACACCAAATTTGGCAACAAAACGTCTCACAACACATAGTGACCATCACTCAAACAATTATGATTTTGTCATTTGGGAGTTGTAGTTGCTGGGATTTATAGTTCACCTACAATCGAAGAGCATTCCGAACTCCACCAACGATGGAATTGAACCAAAATTGGCACACAGAACTCCCATGACCAACAGAAAATACTGGAAGGGTTTGGTGGGCATTGACCTTGAGTTTTGGAGTTGTAGTTCACCTACATCTAGAGAGCACTGTGGACTCAAGCAGTGATGGATCTGGACCAAATTTGGCACTAATACCCAAATTCCCAAATAATTCCCAAATATGAACACATATGGAGTTTGGGGGAAATAGACCTTGACATTTGGGAGTTGTAGTTGCTGGGATTTATAGTTCACCTACAATCAAGGAGCATTTGGAACCCCACCAACGATGGAATTGAACCAAACTTGGCACACAAGACTCCCTTGACCAACAGAAAACACTAGAAGGGTTTGGTGGGCATTGACCTTGAGTTTGGGAGCTGTAGTTCACCTACATCCAGAGAGGACTGTGGACTCAAACAATGATGGATCTGGACCCAACTTGGCACAAATATTCCATATTCCCAAATATGAATACAGATGGAGTTTGGGTGAAATAAACCTTGACATTTGGGAGTTGTAGTTGCTGGGATTTATAGTTTACGTACAATCAAGGAGCATTCCGAACTCCACCAACGATGGAATTGAACCAAACTTGGCACACAGGACTCCCCTGACCAATAGAAAACACTGGAAGGGTTTGGTGGGCATTGACCTTGAGTTTGGGAGTTGTAGTTTACCTACATCTAGAGAGCACTGTGGACTCAAATAATGATGGGTCTGGACCAAACTTGGCACAAATATTCCATATTCCCAAAGATGAACACAGATGGAGTTTGGGAAAAATAGACCTTGACATTTGGGAGTTGTAGTTGATGAGTTATCTTTCTTAGGCATAAACTTGATGTTTCAACAGGGGTAAGGGATACGTTACAGTCTCTGAAGTCTTGGGTCCAAGGAGTTTTCCAGCTGAGAAGCTTTCCAAGTTCGCTCTTCCTCAATGGCTGTGAAGGCCTGAACATTCACAACCCCAGTCCAATAGCCTATATTTGAAGGCACAAAGTCTTCCTCTTGGTGCCAAAGGACTGGTTTGAAGGCACTTAAGATTCCTCAAGTCGTCCAGGGTGATCTGAACATGAAGCATGAATCTTAAGAGTACAAACTTAAGAATTGGTTATGAGAGATGACTTGACAGAGGGCTTTAGAGCCAAGTCTTTCTCACGTCCATCTGCTGAGTTGTCTGATGGTAAAATGAAAAGAAAGCACTGCCCTCTTCCCCAGGAAGGGGCGGAACCAAACAATTGAGCAGGGGGGAGCAATCCAACCAGTGCAAAATAACACTGATTGACAGCTATAGGTAACCAAACAATTTAGCTATACATTCACATACAAGTGGGGCCATATGCGCCATCGCAACAACATCACAATAAAATAAATCAACCAATCAAGTAAAATAAACAGTACAAAATAACATAATGGAAAATAAAACACAGTAGGCGGGCCAAATGCACGACATAAAATGATACAACTCTGGGTGAGACAGTAATGAAAAGGTACATTTGTGGGGGAGGCCTTTAACAAGACATTGAACATCTTTCCTATACATAGATTGCTGTCAGTTTTTGGGCTGTATGGCCATGTTAGAACATCAAGTAGCATTCTCTCCTGATGTTTTGCCTACATGTGTGGTAACCTCATCGTGTTCATTTTCATTGAGTAGCCTTGCAGCTACAACCAAGTGATTCTGGTGATGAAACTTTCGACAACACATTGAACATCTCTCCTTTATATGAGTTGTTCTGAGTTTTTCGGGCTGTATGGCCATATTCCAGTAGCATTCTCACCTGATGTTTCACCTGCATGTGTGGCAGGCATCCATGCAGGCAAAACCAGGACAGAATGTTACTGGAACATGGGCTGGAAGTTTAGCACAGCTGGTAAATCATCAGCAATTATAAGATCTATTAACCAAAGTGTTGCAAGTTCGAAGCCCCAGGTTGGCGTGAGCTGCCAACTGTCAGCCTAGCTCATTGTTTACCTAAGCAGTTCGAAAACAGCTTTACTTGTGATTAGAGAAATTAGGTACCACTAAAAAAACAAGCAATGTTAACTGGCCCTTGATTGCTTGCCGCCTGGAGTTCCCCTGTTTCTGAGTGGTGTTCTTTATTCACCTCTTGATTCTGGTCACCTGATTGTGTTCATTTTCATTTAGTAGCCTTGCCGCTGCAACTTTCAACAATACATTGAACACCTCTCCTATATATGGGTTGCTGTTAGTTTTTCGGGCTGTATGGCCATATTCCAGTAGCATTCTCACCTGATGTTTCGCCTGCATGTGTGGCAGGTATCTATGCAAGTAAAATGTCAGGGGAGAATGCTGCTGGAACATGGTCATATAGCTCAAAAAACTCACAGCAACAAAGTGATTCCAGCCATGAAATCCTTCGACAACACTTTTCCTATATATGTTTCTATTTTGGTGCTAGGTGTATCTGATTTTGCTTCTTTGCAGCGAACATCAGTACAAAATATCAGAAATACTCCGGGAGCAAGAGAGAAAACTTCCTCCGGAGATGAGGGAAGTGAAGGAGATTGTGTTCAATCTCTCTGAAGCCTTGACGGAGAAGACTTTTCGGGTTATTGGTCAGTGGAACAGCCGCCATTATAAGGAAATTAGAGGCGCCATGGATGCGTTTGCGCTGTACATCGACCCAGTGGCCTCCAAGATGCTTTGGTGCATTGAGTGGTTGGAACAGAACGTCAGGCCCATTGTGATCGAAATGTACAAGCCGTACGAGAGATCCCTTGATCAAGCGATGGAGTCCCTGGGACGCACATTCATCGAGAACCTGCAAAAAGATATGGAAAGCCTCCAAACCTCATTGGAAGGAGGAGCCAAGCGGTTCCAGCTGGGGATGGAGACCCTCCACAAGCACTTGAAGCCCTTCTGGATCCCATTGCTGAAGGAGTACAAGAAGTACGACCCAGCAATCAGAGAGTGGGTGGAAAGTCCGTTGTTCCCCCCTCCGAAAGAAGACTGACCCTAAAAGGGAAATCCTAGGGAAGTGACCACTAGGTCAAGAGGTATGGCTGCCTCCCCATCATGGAATATATCTCCCCATTTATTTGGGAGGCGTGAATAGCTGGCAAACTTTATGGAATGAGCTGCGCTTTTCTGTACGAATTATGTCAGTTCTTTCTTGCAATTACATGTTCTGTCATCCACCTGGCCAGATGAATAAAACTTCTGTTACTGCCTTCAAATCAAGTCATGTTTCTCCATGTTTGTACACTGGCTGAAAGATAGCTGTTTTCGGTAACATGCAGGCTAAATAGTCCAAGATAATCTATATATATAAATCTGTAAGGAGCGTCCAACGGGACAGCAAAACTCAAAACCCCCTGACGAAAATTTACCAAAATTCCCATGCACATACCTCAACCCACAAGATATGCACAAATCATCAAAATAGCAAACAACATTTTACCAAACCCACAATTTCCAAAACAAAGGGAGCATACGCAGAAGCATAAAAAAAATATCAAGACCAACAAAAGTAAGTGAAATAATTCGTTTTTGGTTTACTAAATACAGTGATATATTACATTTATACATTTTTGCTATTTAAACTATAAATATCGTGAAATTGTGGGGGTTTTTCTCTAAGTGGCAAACCACCCAAGTTATGCTTGGTGTTTTGGCAAATCTTTGACACACCAAGCTCCAAAGGTTGCCCATCACTGATCTAAGTCAATAATAAGGAGGTTGAACAGTATTGGGCTGACAACAAAACTTGCATTTCTGGACTACTTCTTGACCTATTTTGGGTTGTATTTCCCTTATAACCACATCTGCTCCACATTGCTCAAATTGAACACCGATCTCCGCTGCAAAACTGCACCGTTTCCGAAACCTACTGGATCCCACTCAATTCGACAACTATCGGCCTGTTTCCAATCTCCCCTATTTGGGCAAGGTCATGGAACGTGTGGTGGCAACACAACTCCAGGGGTTTCTGGTAGACACTGATTATCTAGACCCGGCACAGTCTGGCTTTAGGCCGGGACATGGAACTGAGACAGCCTTGGTCGCCTTGGTAGATGATCTACGCAGGGAGCTAGACAGGGGGAGTGTGTCCCTGTTAGTTCTGCTGGACCTCTCAGCGGCCTTTGATACCGTCGATCACGGTATCCTTCTGGGCCGCCTCATGGATATGGGGCTCGGAGGCACTGCTCTGCGGTGGCTTCGATCCTTCCTTGAGGGACGGACCCAGAAGGTGTTACTGGGTGACACCTGTTCGGCCCCACAACCGTTGTTGTGTGGAGTCCCACAGGGTTCTATCTTGTCCCCGATGTTATTTAACATCTACATGAAGCCGCTGGGAGAGATCATTCGGAGTTTCGGACTAAGATGCTATCTCTATGCAGATGACGTCCAAATCTGTCACTCCTTCTCACCTGTCACCAAGGAGGCTGTCCAGACCTTGAACCGGTGTTTAGCCGCTGTATCGGACTGGATGAGAGCTAACAAATTGAAATTGAATCCAGACAAGACAGAGGTCCTACTGGTCAGTCGAAGGCCGAACAGGGTATAGGGTTACAGCCTGTGTTAGACGGGGTTACACTCCCCCTGAAGACGCAGGTTCGCAGCTTGGGAGTGATCCTGGACTCATCGCTGAGCCTGGAACCCCAGGTCTCAGCGGTGGCCGGGAGAGCTTTTGCACAATTAAAACTTGTGCGCCAGTTGCGCCCGTACCTTGGGAAGTCGGATCTGGCCACGGTGGTCCACGCTCTTGTTACATCCCGGTTGGATTACTGCAACGCACTCTACGTGGGGTTGCCTTTGAAGACTGCTCGGAAACTTCAACTTAGTCCAGCGAGAAGCAGCCAGATTGCTCACCGGAGCGGCGTACAGGGAGCACACCACCCCCCTGTTGCGCCAGCTCCACTGGCTGCCGATCCAATTCCGAGCACAATTCAAAGTGCTGGTTTTGACCTACAAAACCCTATACGGTTCCGGCCCAGTGTATTTGTCCGAACGGATCTCCCTCTACATCCCATCTCGAAGTTTAAGATCTTCTGGGGAGGCCCTGCTCTCGACCCCGCCACTGTCACAAGTGAGGCTGGCGGGGACGAGGAGCAGGGCCTTCTCAGTGGTGGCCCCCCACCTGTGGAACTCACTCCCCGGGGAGATCAGATCGGCGACTTCCCTTCTAGCGTTTAGGAAAAAACTAAAGACCTGGATGTGGGACCAAGCTTTTGGCCATGCTGACAACTAACTAAAGGACCTGTCGATAGACAAGGACAATGGAATGGAATGGATATATGGACTCTGATATATGGACTCTGACATGAGATAGTTTTTATGATTTTATTAGGTATTGATGTTTTATTTTAATTGTTGAATTGTTCTATTTTGTATTGTTTGTTGTGTGTTTTGGGCATCTAATTGTGCCTTTCCTGTAAGCCGCCCTGAGTCCCCCTCGGGGTGAGAAGGGCGGGGTATAAGTAGATGAAATAAATAAATAAATAAATAAACCTAGACCCTCATTTGCAGACGACACCAAATTGGGAGGGATAGCCAATACTCCAGAGGACAGGAGCAGGATTCAAAACGATCTTGACAGATTAGAGAGATGAAGGGCCAAAACTAACAAAATGAAGTTCAACAGTGACAAATGCAAGATACTCCACTTTGGCAGGAAAAACGAAATGCAAAGAGACAGAATGGGGGATGCCTGGCTCGAGAGCAGGACGTGTGAAAAAGATCTTGGAGTCCTCGTGGACAACAAGTTAAACATGAGCCAGGAATGTGATGTGGCGGCAAAAAAAGCCAATGGGATTTTGGCCTGCATCAATAGGAGCATAGTGTCTAGATCTAGGGAAGTAATGCTCCCCATGCTCTATTCCGCTTTGGTTAGACCACACCTGGAATATTGTGTCCAATTCTGGGCACCAACACAAGAGAGATATTGACAAGCTGGAATGTGTCCAGAGGAGGGCGACTAAAATGATCAAGGGTCTGGAGAACAAGCCCTATGAGGAGCGGCTTAAGGAGCTGGGCATGTTTAGCCTGAAGAAGAGAAGGCTGAGAGGAGATATGATAGCCAGCCATGTATAAATATGTGAGAGGAAGCCACAGGGAGGAGGGAGCAAGCTTGTTTTCTGCTTCCCTGGAGACTAGGACGCAATGGAGCAATTGCTTCAAACTACAAGAGAGGAGATTCCATCTGAACATGAGGAAGAACTTCCTGACTGTGAGAGCCGTTCAGCAGTGGAACTCTCTGCCCCGGAGTGTGGTGGAGGCTCCTTCTTTGGAAGCTTTTAAACAGAGGCTGGATGGCCATCTGTCAGGGGTGATTTGAACGCAACATTCCTGCTTCTTGGCAGGGGGTTGGACTGGATGGCCCACGAGGTCTCTTCCAACTCTTTGATTCTATGATTCTATGACCTCTAAAGCTAGGATTTCTTTTCTATCCCATTTTCCTTACAACGAATCCCTAACAATTTGGAGAATGATCCATGGCCTGTTTTCCATCCTATGACCTGTAAATAATGGGTCGTCCAAAGTGAACATGCGCAAAGTGCGTTTCAATGCTAACTCCTGGTCATTTTGGAACGAGTTGAAAACAATCTCCCTCTTTTTCCGAAGGACGTGGAAGTGGGTGAAAGAGGCGAGTGACTGTCCACACCATCTCTCCCGAAGAGGTCAGCGCCCGATTGTCCCAAAGGGAGAGGCGAAGGGAAGGCACCCAGGGCAGTGGTCAGTGTTAATGAGTGACCAGAGGCAGAGAGGGAGTGGGCTGCTTGATGCCCTTCCTAGCCTCCCTTCCGGAGAGAGAGAATATTGAGTCTGGGTCTGTGCGGAGCCTCCTTTCTTGCAGCCATGAAGCTCCTCGTTGTGCTCTTCACCTTGATTGCGGTCACAGGTGAGTCCCACTTCTGTTCTTGGGGTGCATCTACACCGTGGAATTAACCCAGTTTGAGACCACTTTAATTCTCGTGGCTCGGTTCTATGGAATAGCAGGAGTAGCAGTTTGCACTCTTTGGCTAAAAAGCACTGCAGATCCACAACATCCAGGATTCTATCAGCTGGTGCCAAACTGTATTATCTCTAAAATGTAGATGCAAGCTTGGTTCTGATGTAATAAAAGTGACAAGTTAGCATTTACCATTGATGCACCTACTGTTGAATGAATGCAGTTTGGCACAGTCAGAATTGGGCTTGGCTTAGTGCTCTTGAATACTGGGAATTGTAGTTTTGCAAGGTCATTGGTCTTCCCTGTCGAAGAGCACTCTTTAGCAACAAGAACTAAAAGCCCTTGCAAAACTATAACTCCCAGGTTTCCATACCATTTGGGCCACGGCAGCTTCAAACTGCCTTGACTCTACAGGTTAGGTGAGTAAAACTACAGCTCCCGCAATTAGTAAAACTACCACTTCCAGGATTCCCTAGCCTTGAGTGGTGTCAAACTGTGTTAACTCCGTAGCGTAGATGCACCCTGTCTCTCAAAAAGGTTTTGCAGTTAAAGCCATAATTCACTATTTTTTATTTAAGAGAAGCAACGAGTTAACGTTGTTAACGAGTTAACCGCTCTGAGCCGCCCTGAGGGCCGAGAAGAGCGGTATACAAATATAGTAAATAAATAACGTTTACCATTGATGCACCTACCGTCGAATGAGGGCAGTTTGGCACCACTTCAGACTGCAGTGGCTCAATGCTCTGGAATCTTAGGAATTGTAGTTTTGCAAGGTCGTTGGTCTTCCCCACCAAAGAGCCCAGGCAGCCTTTGGCAGAGAGGGGTAAAAGTTTTGCAGAACTGTAATGCCCAGAATTCTAAACCATTTGAGCCATGACAGTTTCAAACTGCCGTAATTCTTCAGTGTAGGTGAACCCTTAGTAAAACTACAACAATTTTCCTAGCCTTGAACCATGTCAGTCAAAGCAGTGTCAAACCACATTCACTCTGCTGCGCTTTGTCTATAAAAAAGGTTTAATTCACTATTTTTATTTATTGGAAAGGATTTGTTTTGTTTAATATATATTTTCCTGGGTGGCACTGTGGCCAAGTCACACTTTCTCGCCCTTCCACAATGCCAATGTAAGCCTCTGCTGTTTGTCACCAACCTGATGTGTGTATTCTTAATCTGAAACTTTGGGTGTTATTGTGAATGCTTGCCAGGCAGGGCCCTCCTTTATCCGTGGTCCATGGTCTGAATTCAACCTCAAAGAGAACCATGAAAAGGCTGATACATAAGGTATA